CGACCGAAAAATTCAAAGTTCTCCAAAATAAAAACAAAGTATTTAAAACACTTATTTGATGCATTTGGCTAAGAAATCAAGTAAGACACTTTGAAAACCACGTCATTTGAGTGAAAAACACGGCTAGCCAAGTTGACGCCGTTTTTGGATGATTTTTGTCAAACGACCAAAAGCGAAAGATGGTTTTCAAGGTGTTTTTGTTGGAGAACCGTTTAAACATGCCAAAGAGTGGGAACCAATCATAAAAAGTTGAAAACCACTTGGTTGGTTCGGACGCCAAAAACCATAGCCGATAACCGAGAGCCGAACGCCGGTTTCTGAAACCCGAACGCCGGATGGCTTGGTTTTTGGTTTGGGAGAACACCAAGTGTTTTTAATGTTTTAAACATGTTTGAAAAACATTTTTATGATGTGAGAAATGCAATGGGAGATTTTAGCCTAAAGAGCTACGGTGTAAAGATTGGGTCGGCCTTGATCACAATAAAGACCGACTCAACAACACTAAGTCTAATGTCTTCGTTCTTGGTCTTCTTTTAGCTCTTCTTCAACTTTTCCATTCTTCGCCTTGTATATTCATTGTTTTGACTTGATCACGGCGGTTTGGCATTATCAAAACCTGTTACAAAAACGAACACGGCTTTAGTACGAAAACATGACAAGCCCGTGTTTCAACATATTTTTATTTTATTAAAAAATAATCATTAAATAAAAAATATTGATTATATTATAATATGAATTATCATTACAATTTTCAAACGTTATTATAAAGTCAAATTAAATAATTAATTTGAAATATTAAATTAAATCATAATTAATCAGATCAGACCAGATCAGATCCAATCAGATCAGATCAGATCAGATCCAATTAGATCCAATCAGATCAGATCAGATCCAATCAGATCAGATCAGATCAGATCCAATCAGATCAGATCAGATCAGACCAGATCAGATCAGAACTTATTAGAATCAGATCGAATCAGAAAAAATAAGTTGAACGGAACGGAGCCTTAATGTATTATCTTTCATATGCACATACATGTATAATATTTATGTATTCCATCAATAATAGGCATTGTAATTGGATTACTTAAAGAGTTATTCTCTTATTTATTTAATGTGAGTTTTTTTTAATATAATACGGAGTACCATTTTTAAATAGCTATACTTATAAAAAAGTATGCGAGTCAGTGCAAAGCACGAGATAAAAACTAGTTGCATCGACTCATCTTCCCCAAAAAGTGGTAACACAATCCTAATATGATTTGAATTTATCTTTTATCTTTTTATTTATAAAAATAAAACTAATGATATTAATAAATTTGTACTAAATAATACTAAATCATTATTATTTTCTTAATCTAGGACTTAAACTTTTTTATTTCTTAGAGAGAACTTAATAGTGTCTTAGTGGGAGGAATAATGTCCAGTAATAAATTAATAATGGACATTAACTTGAATAATGACTAATTAATAATGACCAAAAGTCCTACATTGGGAAATAAAAACATATAGTCCTATATTGGGAAAGTCATTGTGTTTTAGCCCTATTTAGGTGAATTACTCATAATATTATTTGAAGTGATAAAATTTTAATATATCAAAACTAAATTTTAAAATTAATATTATGATATTAAATTTATATCATCATAAAATATATTTTTTCATAATTTGTAGTCCACTCGATCGAATATATCCGAAACTGAAATATATCCGAACCGGACTAGACCCGAAACCGAAATATATCCGACTCAAATTGTATCCAAATCAAAATTTATCCGAACCGATTCATAACCGAACCGTATCTGAACCGACTCGAAACCGAACCGAATCGAAAAATGTATAGAACCGAAATCAAATCCGAACCGAAATTTAACTGATCCAAACCGAACCGATTATAACATATAACAGAAAGATATCCGAACCGAAAAAGTTCAATTCGGAACCGATTCGGTTGATCCGATTGCTACCTCTAACTGAAACCCACTGTCTGGATCGATCCAGGGGCTTGGATCGATCCCCTAGGAGTGATTTTTCATAGTATGGATCGATCCAGCGGACTGGATCGATCCCCCGAAGTTCTGATCCGAAAATTTGTCTGAAAATGCTATTTTTGAGTTCTAAAATCCTATTTTTGATACCAATTGATTATGATCATTATAAAAAAATGATTTACCACAATAAAAATGATGTTTTTAACAAATAAGAATGTTATCTGATGCATGACGGTAAGTTCGGGTGTTAACACTCGAAGCTAGGCCGCTATTTGATATCGAATGTTATGTGATTGATGACTATGATGAATGATTATTATGATGATTATGGCTTGAGGAAACCACTGATTAAAATGATTATCAAGGATTAAATTATGAATTGAAATGAATATGTTGATGATTATGAAATGATTTGGATTGTAAGGATATCTAGAAGAACTCTAAGATATATCTAGGTTGACTTTGGTTTCTAAGACTATCTAGAAGACCTCTAAGATAGCTTAGAAATAGGCCTTGCGGGTATAATCATGAGTATTCGGTGGCCTAGGTTAAAACGTACGTACGAGATCTACAAACCAAACTTGAGGCACTCGTTTGGGGATAGCACCCAACCCGACAGTGAGCATTTCGGATCCGCTGTTCGGTTTTTGGATGACCTTAATCGAAGGTAAGTTTAAGATTTTGAAAACCTCTTTTTGAAAATTTATATCTTAAACTTGGCCTAGCTTAAGGGTTAGATAAGAGTACCTTAAACTTGAATATAGTTTAACTATGTTAGACTAGAATTCATTTAAGAGTTGGTAAACATCAAATAGATTGGCCTTAGACTAAGAATAGTTTAAGGATATTGTTGAATGACAAATGATGAATATTGTATGATGTATGTTGAATATGAATGATGAATATACATGTTGAATAATTGAATAATGAATGTTGAAAATTGTATATTGATTATTGAATATCTGAACTGAACATTATTTGCATGATATCAAATGATTGATTATGAATTGAGATTCAATTTATGTGGATGTTCGACGCATTAGATATGCTTACTCAGCTTTACCGCTGAGCGTGTAGTGTGTTTTATTTGCTACACGCAGGTCAATAGAATAATGTGACGTGATCCTGGAGGCAGACGGAGGTGAGATAGTCGGAATGGATGTGATGGTTTTGAATTAAAGAATATAAATAAATTATGTTTGTGGTTATAATTTTTTAAGCTTCCGCAATATTGAAAACTCTGTACTGTTTATGATATCAAAAATATTATTATGATAAATAAAAGTGTTTGAAAAGTTCTAAATTTTACGATTACCAAGTTAATACTTTAGTCCGAAAGGGGCTGCAGACCTGGACGGATTAGGGTGTTACACTTACTTTTATCCATCACATCAAAGGACATTTTTGGAAATTCAATACCAAAATACACTTCCCTTAAATCTCTTCAAAAAATAAAGGGAGAAAGACCAAACTAGGACTAAAACACTGAGAATATACCAAAATAGGACGTCCATGTTTTTATTCCCAAAATATGACTTACATTACCAAACATGGTCATATACAATACCAAAAAAGTATAGTAATTTGCATATGTACACTTCCACATTACCACAATGCAAAGTCACATTACCATAGTGTCAAGTCCTATTCCGTGAAAAAAACATGAAAGTCCTATTTTGGTACTTTTCTCTATGTTTTAGTCCTATTTAGGATGATTTCTAAAAAACAAAACATCCCATATTTTACGGGACGAAGGGAATAGAATTTAGTACTCCCTCTATCCCAAAAACTCTTTCACGTTTTAAAAAATGGTGTTCGGCAATTTCTTTCCCGTTTATATTAAAAAAATAACTTTTTCACCTTATCTTTTCATATCATCCCTATCACATCATACCTTTTTAATAATAATTTACACATTACATCATACTTTTACCCATCACATCAAGGATATTTTTCAAAACTAGTATTCTACCCGTGCGGCGCACGGGGTCGAACTAAATTTTTGTCGATTCTGAAACTTTTTCCATGCAATCTTTTTTCAAAAAGAAATATATAATTCTGGCATGATTTTTAATACTATAGACAAAAATGCTAAATTAGAATAAATAATATTTGAGGAATTAAATTTGTACTCATCAAAGTTTTTTGAATACCAAATTTTTTATGCAACTTCTTCTCGAGGAGAATTGTCCTCCGCCCTTCTGCTCCATCTGATGCGGATGGCCTAAAGAACCTAAAGGCTCTGATTATGGACTTCCAGACGAGTGATTGGGTTGAATGAGTCACAGATTGTTGGATTTCATGCCACACGAAGAACTGAGCTAAAGACTATGGCCGCTATGAATGAAGGCCCAAACAGGCACCCTTAACAAACGAGGTGAGCTAAATCTGGCTCCGATACCATGATAGAATTTAAGATGAGATATGAATTATTAGATTGAGTCATAAGATAATTAAGTTTGATGGGTATATCCTTATACCCAACCCGGATAACCAAAAGGGACAGGTCAAAATATGACCGGTCACTTTTAACAAGTCACCAAATGATGTTAACTCTTCGATTGGGACGGGTCAAAAAATGACCGGTCACTTCCACTAAAAAAGTGACCGGTTACATTTTGGGCGATAGCCAATTCGTCACTTAATGTTTTGAAGGATATTCCAGATGACCAAAGAGATGGGTTGAACTCAAGAAATGACCGGGTAACCTTTGAGGAAAGGTGACCGGTCTGGTTACGTTACTTGAGAAGAGCAATCAACATCAGAGGCTAGGGGAAACCCCGCCGCTCATCCGTCACGAGGCAAACAGTGAAAGGAATGATTGGCGTTTTGCATGATTGATTGGATTGAGAATATCCATGACATAGTCTTTGATTGAACAGTGCATGTCTTGGCTTGTAGTTGCTAGATTCATTGATTGAATAGTTGATTGATTATGTACAGTGACCTTCCCACGGGCTTCCTATTTTGCCCATGGATGAACAGGGGAAGGTCACAAATCCTCCTCTATAAATATGATGATATTGGATAGAGGAGGGGACCAATTCTTTCTCTCACTAAAAACTAGTACACTCTTGAGACAGAGTAAGAAATATATTTCGGACTGAGGAGATTTGCCCGGTCTAGGTCATACTTTGTGTTCTTGTTGTGTGTTTTATATTACGGGTCAAATGTCCAGGTTAAACCCGGTTAACCCGCCCAACTATATTTACACCATCATTTTTGGCGCCGACCGTGGGACCAATTTTTAAAGTTTTTTTTCGACCAGGTCAAAACTTTACCCCCACTAAATATCCACAATCATGTCTTCAAGCAACCACAACACTGTGTCAAGCCAGGCTGTGAGTGAAAGCACTCCTGCCATGCCACTGATGATGGCAAGCATGGGGACGACCTTTGCTCCGATCACTACTGTAGGATCGATTGGCATGATCCCAATCATGTCAACCCCTACTCCTACGCCGACAACAACAATGTTCCCAGGCTCGATAACAATGCCTGGTGGAGCATTCACACCATACCCATCAGCTTGGGCTCAGTTTGCTGCTGACCCGGCAAATGCTCAGGCTCTACAGGGCTATCAACAGGTGATGGCCATGATGCAACAGGCAGGGGGCTTCATGCCATTTGCCTATCCGGGCATGACGCCGCCAATCATGCCACCTCCGGTGTCGACCCCATCGACATTTGTCCCTAGGATGGTCCCTATACGCCCGGTGAATCTGACAGGGACCCTGAACGAGGCAGCGCCCTCAAATGTCCATGAGGTCGATGAAGCAGAGCAGGAGGCGGCTCGCAGGAGGAAGGGTAAGGCTATAGCCAAACCCAGCAAGACCCGAGATTCGGCGTTCAAATGCATGGGGGACAAAGAGGATGGGCCCCGCAAGTCTACCAAGCTACGTCTTGGTCCTGAGATGGGCCGGACTAGCGCAACGGAAAGACTTGGCGGGAATCGTCCTATCCAATCTCGTCGTTCTAGGGAATCTGAGACGATTCACCTAGACGAGGAGGAAGCTGAAAGCCAACCCAGGGCGTCGGCATATACCAGGCTCTCATACGATGAGGACGACCTGGACAAGATAGGGAGCGTAGCAAGAAAGCTACGTGCCCTGGAGGAAAAGGTGGAAGAAAAGGTGGGAGCAAAGAGGTACACCCTGGCCAAATCTCCCTTTTCAGCCAGGGTACATGCACAGAAACTGAGACGAATTAAGCTGGACGTGGAGAAGTTCACAGGGAAGGAGGATCCAAACGTCCACCTTGACACCTTCCACAATGCAGCACAGATGTCCGGGTGCACTGATGCTGAGGAATGCTTACTCTTCTTCTCATCTTTGAGAGGGAGACCAGTGGAATGGTTTAACGTGTTGGAATGCAAGAGTTCAACCTTTTCTGTGTTGTTAATTGTTGACTCATAGGTTTTAATAATTGACAAACACAATTTATTCAAGTCAAGATCAAAGTGCTACAACGACAAACACGAAGACTTGGAGTGCCATTCCTTGAAGTATTCAAGAAGGTGCACAAGATTTTTTGGAGTCCGAGACGCGTTCGGAGCGCCTAACGGAGGACTCGGAAGAGTAGAAGATTTCCGAAGACTTTTTATTTTATTGAGTCGTAGGAATTTTTGTAAGGATGACAAAAATATCTTCTCTCCAAAATTATTTTTATGAGAGTTAAAATAAAAATTATATTTATTTTTGGAGTCAGTTGAAAAATCCTTTTAACTGTTCAAAATAGTTTTATTGAGTCAGTTACAAAAGGTGTGCCAAACATTTATCAAATATTTATTTTGATATTATAAAATATTTTTGGTAAGCAAAAATATTTTATTCAAATATTTTTTTTGTACATCGTTTGACACACAAAATAATTTTTGGACTCACTTTTCTCTCCCCTATTCAAACTCATCGAATAGGAGATAGGATTTCTGAGGAGCGTTCTCTTATTCTCTCTGTCTCAAACAAAGAGGATACTGCCAATTCTTTTCCTCATCGCAACTTGGTTTGGGCCAGTTGTGTTGCGCATTATTTGAGATGTAATCGATTAATCATATTGAGATAATCGATTATTGATTCTTTCCTAGCGCAGGACTTCTGGCTTTTGGGCTTAATCGATTTTCTTCTTTCAATTAATCGATTAATTTGGACAGAGCTACCTAATCGATTTGTTGCTTCACTTTAATCGATTAATAGGCTCTTCGTTGGATTCCTCTCTTTTGATCATTAATCGATTAACCTTCTTGGTTTAATCGATTAGTCCGGACAGAGCCGACTAATCGATTTTTGTACCTCATGTAATCGATTTTCCTTAGCTGCATTGATCGTTGCTGATGATGCATTAATCGATTATTGTCACTGCATTAATCGATTTTTATGCTGCATCTTTTCTGCACAGCTTCTTTTCTTGGACCAACGGATATATTTCTTCACCTCCTATTTAAGCACCTTTCCTTGGTCATTTTCCAAAAACAAGAAACACTCCAATACTCCCCATTCTTGAGGTGATAATCCTCCATTCATTTCTTCCTCAAATTAATATATTTTGAGAGAAAACTAAGTGTTTTCAAGAGAGTGTTCTTGTCATCCATTAGAGCTTTAATCATTTCTCTTATCTACTCTTTTGAGAGCTATTGTTGAGAGGTTGAAGAAGACTGTTCTTCTTGTTGTTCAAGGCTTATGTGATTTAAGTCTTGGTTGTGAAGTCTTGTAGAGGGCATATCTACGAGCGGTTATGTCGAGGCTTGTGGGATTCAAGTTCTCAAGTTGTAAACGGTTTGTTAAGCACCCGTAAGCTTAACGGAAGTAGTGGTAGCTTCGAGAGAGTCTCTCGGGGAACTGGACTAGCCACGAGGTGGTGAACCAGTATACATCGGTGTGTTCTTTTCCTTCTCTATTTTATTTCCGCTGCACTTACGTTTATATTATTAATCCTGCGAAAATCGGTAAACATTCTCAACAACTCTATTCACCCCCCCTCTAGAGTTGCACGCCTTGTCTAACATAACGGCCTTCCCCATGGCAAGATTGGATCCTTTGAAAAACTGGCTGAAGTGTTCCGTAAGAAATACCAGGACAATTGCATTAAGAGAAAGAAGTTTACCTACCTTAATACGGTAGGGCAGAGGGAAAAGGAGTCCTTGACTCAGTTCTTAACTCGATGGAGGGATGAGGTTGACAAAGTAGAAGAGATGGACGATAAGACGGCCATGTCTTTGCTGATGAATGCCTTCCGATCGGGTGACCTCTACACTGAATTCTGTAGGAGGCCACCCTCCTCTTATCAAGAAGCCTACAATACGGCATGGGAGTATGCCAAGGCGGAGGTCCTGAACAAGAGCAAGCGGGAGCTGGAGGAAGGCTACACTAAGGTGAAATCTGATAAGCCAAAGAAGGATGACCAGACGGGAGGGTCCAAGCCAAAGGCCACATATGATGGGTCCGTCCACCAAATAAGGGATGACAAGAAGGGAGAGCAACCCAAGAGGCCATGGACGGAGAAGTGGTGCACATACCACCAATCCGACTCCCACAATACGGCGGATTGCCAAAATGTCAAGGCTGTGCTCAAGGAGATGGCATTGAAGGGAGAGCTTGGGGAAGGTTACGTGACGGGGAATAAAAAGGACCCGAAAACGAACACCTGGACCCGTCCTCAAGGAAAAGACCAGGGAAGGAGAAAATCAGGGAAGGACGACAAGCCGGATAAGGAGTTCATAGATATGATTGTTGGCGGTCCGGAAGGCGGGGATACTGCCTCCCAGCGGAAGAACTGGGCTAGGAGTCTACATGTGTCGGTGGTTTCCCTGGAGTCACATGGGAAGCAGGCAAGGAGGGAACCTATTACTTTCACTGATAGGGATTTGCCTAGGACGGGGGGAGATCATAATGACCCTTTGGTCATTACAATGGACATCAATGGGGCAGATGTGGCCAGGGTCCTTGTTGATACGGGAAGCAGTGTCAATGTTTTATACTTGGATGCTTTCAAGAAATTGAAGCTGGACAGGTCCATGGTGAGGCCATTGCAAACCCCATTGTCAGGCTTCACTGGAGCCAGCATAGAAGCAGAAGGTCAGATCACCTTACCAATTACCTTGGGGTCAGGCAACAAGACGGTGACCAAACAAATGAGATTTGTTGTGGTTGACATCAAGTGTGTACATAATGCCATTCTTGGTAGGCCTGTAATCAATCAGGTCAGGGCCATTATTTCTATGGAACACTTATGCATGAAATTTTACACCCCCAATGGAATTGGCGAGGAAAGGGGTGATCAAAAGAATGCCCGATCCTGCTACCTGGAAGTGGTCAAGAAGATGACCCGCCAGTTCGAACAAATTGAATTGGTCTCCCAGCAGGTCGACAAGGGTGAGGAAAAGGCTAGGATCGAGTCGGATACAAACACAGAGGAGATCCAGATTGATGCTTCCAATCCTGAGAGGAAGGTCAAGATTGGGGCTGATCTACAAGAGGAGCTAAGGACTGAGATTGTCAAGGTGCTGACCAGGTATAAATCCTTGTTTGCCTGGAGTGTTGCTGATATGCCCGGAATTGACTGGTCAGTCATTTGCCATCGTCTCTCTGTTCTTGAGGGGTCTAGGCCTGTAAGACAAAAGAAGAGATTCTTGGCAAGTGAGAGAAGGGACTTTGTGAAAAAGATGGTCAAGGACCTACTAGAGGTTGGTCATATAAGGGAAGTAAATTACCCTGAATGGCTGGCCAACGTAGTCCTGGCTCCGAAGGGTGACACCTGGAGGATGTGCGTGGACTACACAGACCTCAACAAGGCATGCCCAATGGACTCTTACCCTCTGCCCAGCCCGGATCAAATGGTGGATGAAACTGCCGGGTGTGAGCTACTTAGTTTCATGGATGCCTTCAAAGGGTATCATCAAATTTTCATGGCGGAAGACGATGAGGAGAAGACAGCCTTCCTCACCCCGGACGGCACATAGTGTTATAGGGTGATGGCCTTTGGGTTGAAAAACTTAGGGGCAACTTACCAGAGGATGGTCAACAAATTGTTCAGGCCTTTGCTTGGACGGACCATGGAAGCCTATGTTGATGATATGTTGGTGAAGAGCAGGACAACCAACACACACGCTCGAGACCTGGAAAAATGTTTTGAGATTATGGCTAGGCATAATCTTAGACTTAATCCAAACAAGTGTGTTTTTGTCGTAAGGACGGGGAAGTTCTTGGGCTTCATGGTTACGAAGAGGGGGATTGAGCCAAATCCTGAGAAGATCAAGGCCATTGTTGAGATGCAACCCCCAACCTCGGTAAGGGATGTCCAGAGATTGACGGGGCGCCTGGCGGCCCTAAACCGGTTTGTCCAGATCAGCTGAGAAGGCCTTACCTTTCTTTAAAATCTTAAAGAAAGCCAACACCTTCCAGTGGGATGACGAATGTGCCAGGGCATTCGAAGAGCTAAAGACGTACCTGACTTCGGATATTGTCCTATCCAAGCCGGAAACGAAGGAGACTCTATACCTCTACCTAGGGGTAACTCAGATGGCCGTTAGCTCAGTCTTGATGAGGGATGATGGGGTCCAGAGGTCCATTTATTATGTAAGCAAGGCCTTAAATGGGGCAGAAAGTAGGTATGCACTATTCATCACCTCCTACTTTCAGGCCCATCCCATTGTCGTATTGGCCGACCTACCATTAGACACGGTCATGAGGGACTCCACTTCATCAGGAAGAATGATCAAATGGGCCATGATGTTGACTCAATTCAACATCGAATATCGCCCGAGGACAGCGATAAAAGGACAGGCCGTGGCTGATTTTCTTGTGGAGATGGCGGGTCACCAGGAAGAAGAACCGGCTAGGGCTATCACAGAGCCTTGGTGGTCCATGTCGGTAGATGGAGCCTCTGGACCGAAAGGTTACGGGGGAGGTGTAGTATTCACAACTATGGAAGGGTTCAAGGTATATCATGCCTTGATCTTCAATTTCAAGCTCACAAACAACGAGGCTGAGTATGAGGCATTGATAGGGGGTCTGAGATTGGCCAAAACCCTATAAATCACATGCCTCAGGATCAAATCCGACTCAAGCTTGGTGGTAGGCCACATCAACGGCAACATGGAGGCCAAAGGAGAGAAGATGCAGAAGTACTGAGACTTGGCAAGGGCATTATTGAAGGATCTGACTGAGTATGTGATGGAGCAAATCCCTAGGGGGGAAAACACCGATGCTGACTTGCTATCAAAATTGACGCAAGCAGCCCCGGAGCATGTGTCCAAGCTGGCCAGGATTGAGACGCTGGAGAAAGCCAGCATTGAAGGGTTTTCTGTTAGCATGATAGAGGAAGATGGACAGCCCAATCCAGATCGAGTGGAGCCAGATGATATTTGGATGGATGACTTGGTCAGGTACTATATGACCGGGCAATTCCCTGAGGATGAGGATAGGGTAAGAAAAGTAAAGTTGAGGGCTCCAAGATTCCAAATGCTTGATGGAAGGCTATACAAAAGGGCATTTGGCGGTCCGCTGCTGAGATGCTTGACCAGGGCNTTCGTCTGGAAGAATATAATCACCAGGTTCGGGTCTCCTCGAAACATTGTGACGGATAACGGGCCTCAATTTCGGAATCCAGGGTTCACCAAATACTTAGAGGACTTTGGGATTACTCACAACAAGGCTTCCGTGGCCTACCCGCAAGGGAATGGTCAGGTGGAGAATGCGAACCGCACAATAGTCGATGGGATTAAAAAGCGGTTGGGTGAGGCAGGAACAAATTGGCTAGAGGAGTTGCCACATATCATCTGGGCTTACCGAGTCACTTCGAGAAGGGCCACCGGGGAGACACCTTTCGTCCTTACTTATGGATGTGAGGCCAGACTACCCATTGAAGCAAAGATAATGACCTTCCGGGAAAAGATCTATGAGGAGAAAGGGAATGAGGAGGACCACTTGGCAGAATTGAACTTGCTGGAGGAAAGGCGGATGGTTGCTGAGGCTAAAATGATAGAGTACCAGCAAGCAGTCAAGGCCTACCATGATAACAAGGTAGGGCCTTGTTATTTCCAAGTTGGTGATGAGGTCCTGAGACGAAGGGAGGCCAGCAAACCGGGTGATGGTGGAAAGCTTGCGAAGAAATGGGAAGGTCCATATAGGGTCAAGGCAATACTACGCCCATGGACATACAAGTTGGAAACAATGGAAGGTCGAGAATTAGAAAGGTGCTGGAATTCCCACCACCTTAGAAAATTCTACCGATAGGCCAAATGGCAAGACATGCATTTGTAATACCCCCTTTGATGATGAATAAAAGCTTTCTTCAATATGAGTTATGTTGGGTCAGTGATGCTAAAATAACTTGTCTTGATGTAAGAGGCAAGGTCAAAACAAAAAAAAAAGATAAACCCTTGAGATAGGGGCCTTGATGTTGAGGTATAGCCTTGAGATAGGCTGGGTCTGGAAGAAGACTCGCGTCCATACTTACATGGATCCCTGCCAAATTTTGGTTTGGTTAGGGGCTAAAAGATGCCAAAATAAAAAAAATCATTTACCGTGTTTCATGAGCCATCCTTTGTGGATTGGAGGGTCTAGGGAAGACTAGAGTTCACTTCAAACGCATAAGATATGGACATGTAGGATTGGATGAGGGCTGGTTCTCACCGGCATACCCCCACGAGGGAAGATTGGGTTGGCTAGGTCAACCTAATGATTAAAGAATGGTACATTAAAAGACTTAAAACCTGGAAGAGGGGCCCTGGAAGAAGGGTGTTGCCTGGAAGAGGGCTGAACCTTGGAGAGGGTTCGCGATCATAGGACATGGTCAAAATCTCCGAAGAAAGTTCGGGTCTTGATGTTGAGACTTGATGATTCCAAAACCGTTTCGGATTATTCGTTCGAAATTTGAGCAAGGTTGCTGTTAGGCATGACACCCAGGCCAGAGGGGGAAAAGAAGGTGGCATGGTCAAAAGTTACCGGTCACTTTTTGATGTTCGGGATTGACAAGAAAATGCGAATGGGAAAAAATTAAAATTTGACCGGTCAACTTTGAGAAAAGTGACCGGTCACCTTTTAGTTAGCGGTTTTGATGAAATCAGGCAAATCTGAAAACCTTCCGTTTTGACCGGTCACATTTTTGACCCGGCACCTGGACAGGAAATTGGACGTTATGCTGGCTACGTAGTGCAACCAAGCTGTTGGAAGTTGATTAGAACAAATTCAACCTAGGCGTTTATTACATTTCCGACTGGAAGATAACCGGATCAGGAGACAAGCCAGGAGCAAAGTGACCTGGACATTTTCAAGTCTGGAGACCAGGACATGAAATGACCTGGAAGTTTCCAAGCAGTGCATTTAAAATGCCCTTCAAGATTTTAACCTAGCCTAATAAACCAAGACATGAGATGACCTGGAAATTTATTACATTTCAACATGGACGTGACCTAGACGTTTTCTAGTCAAGAGACCAGGACATGAGATGACCTGGAAGTTTTCAAGCCTTGCCTCTAAAGTGATCTTCAAAACTTTCAACCTAACCTACTACACCAGGACATGAGATGACCTGGACGTTTGTAGCAGCTCAACCTAGACATAAGCCGGTCTAGAAAACTAGTCAAACATGAGGTGCCTGGACCTAGACGTTTTCAAGATTACAAGACCTGGACATTTTCAAGAGATGAAATTGACCAGGACATTAAAGGACCTAGACGATTTTCAACCAAACCAAGTAGACCGGTTGCTTCTATTGACTTGTGTTGGGAAAATTATAGATTTTGATGATGATGTATTTAGAATGTATTAGGGACTTTAGGTCTCCCCCAATATTCAATGTAATTTTTCTTTTTAGAAATATTGTCAAAACCGAGTTCTTGAGATTTCCAATAAAATTGTGATTATCCTTTAAGCGTTTTGATGCCTGAAGACTTAATCAAATTTAGTGATATGGAAATTGGATATCTTGATCGGAAATGTCAGAGACAAGTAAGGATTTCTCAATCAGATGAAAATCCGCAGATCCGGAAGACTACATAAGAACCGGATGTCTCGCTACAACCCGCTGAAGGCTAAGTCATCCAAATCGGAAGACTAGCGCGGATCACTCTCTCACCCAGAAGCCTGAAAAATGACTTCTCCGGATTTGTCAGCTAAGAATCGGAAGACTCATTGAAGACCGAAATTCTTAAAAAGCGGACAAGTGGGAAAAAGACTTGGAAAATTATCTAAGTCCTGAATGAAGAAATTCTACCCGTTGGTAAGGAAAAATCAATCTCTTGATTTTCAACGGCTAGATTGAAGATAATCATGCTGATTCAAGAAAAAATTACTCAAAGACAAAGTCTGGCCCTCTAATTTGAAGAGCCTGCCCAGAATTCCTAAACAAGCACTAGAGGACAAACAGAGTAAAGTGCTACAGTTGAGAATTCTTGAACAACAGCTAGAAGACGGAATATGTGATTAGTAGAATCACTTCTCAAACAATTGGGTACGTCCAAACGCCCACTTCAACAAAGAATCTTCAAATCACAATCTTCATTCAAAATTGAAGCCAGCAAATGCAACGGATAGTCTATTATGATTCAACGGATAGATTATCTAATCCAGCTATAAATAGAATCCTTGGAAGACTGGAGGAAACAACAACAACACCACAACGAAGCAAACTCTAAGCTATCTCATTCACATTTAGCCCAAAATCTTGATAAAGAGAGATTTTTAAACTCCTTATCCAGAAGCAAACTCCTCCTCCTTTCAAAGAGCTATAGTGTAAACACTTGAAGGTTTCCTTACCTCAAGTACCACACCACGTTGAAGGATACAACTTTTTGATCAAACTTCTTGATTAAAAAGGGAGTTGGTCAACTTTCTTACAAGTTGATCTTGCAAGTCCTATTGTTCGGATCTTGCAGTTGTTGAAGAAGCGTGACCTTCGAAGGAACAACAAAGCCAGCACGAGTGCAGTAGCAACTTTGGTCTTGCGAAGATATACCGTGCAGAAATTCACACAAGTGTAATTGTTGGTTCATTATTCAACAACTAACTACATAGTGGATTTTGAGGACGTAGAAGGATTACCCCACCTTCGAACCTCGTTAAAGTTTGCGTGTCTCTCTCTTTTATCTTTACTCTTACTAGCAATTATATTAACTGTGAAAACTAACCCATCCATATTGATTACTGCTCACTCTACCCACCAAATTCCGCACACAATCTAAAGTTCACAAGAACTCTAGATTTACACTCATTTTTCACGTTTTCAAAAGAAACGAAAAAGATTTTAAATTTGTAACAAAGTCTATTCACCCCCCTCTAGACTTTGTATCTCACCACTTTGGGACCACCAATTGGTATCAGAGCAAACTTCTCACTATCTACGTTTAGATTAACGAGAAGCGATCAAAATGGTGAACAATATGGATCACGGTTTGCCCAAGTTTTCTCTCCTAGGTTATGATGATTGGAAGATCATGATGGAAGCACATCTCTATGCTCTACATGATTGCATGTGGATGGTGCTTGAGGATGGACCCTTGAAAATCCAAATGGAGAATCCTGAGAGGAATCCAGCAACCCCAGACGTAGTCCAGTACATTCCAAAGCCCAAGGAAAAATGGGATGATAGAGATTGCAAAAAGCATAATCTGGACAATGTCGCCAAAGCAGCCATCTTCAAGACGCTTGATCCCATCACCTTCTCCAAAATCAAGCATCTCAAGACTGCCATGGAGATATGGCAAGGTCTTGGGAAGCTATGTGAAGGATCAGAGGACTTGAGAAAGCAGAAGATAGAAGTTCTGCTTGAGAAGTTCAAAGGCTTCAAAATGCTTCCCGAAGAATCATTTGATATGTTGGATGAAAGATTCCACAAAATCTTAAATGATCTTGCCTCACTTAACCACATTCTTTCTCCCAAAGAAAAGAATGTAAGGTTACTGAGATCACTTCCAACAGAGTGGTACACCAAGGCCACAACCATGGAAGAAGGAAGAAACCTGGAGAACTACACTGTCCAGGGTCTTCTTGATGAGCTCAGAACTTATGAGCACGAGCTGAAGAAGAAGAAGGAAGAACAAGTCACTCCCTTCCCCACGGCACTGATGACAACTCCAAGAGTCCCAACAAGTGAAGGGACATGCCCAAGAAACTGTGACACACCTTCCTCCAGCCAGCCGTCCAGCTCATAAACGGAGAACTACGATGAGGAATTTGCCATGATGGTCAAGCAATTCCGGAAGTTCAAAAAGTTCTTCAAGAAAGCTGACTCAGTCAGAAGGCCATCCAAGGGAAAGCCACAGGTAAGTGACTCTCCTCCTGAATCTTATTTATGTTATAACTGCAGGAAACCTGGCCACTGGAAATCAGCATGTCCGTACCCAAAGGTGGAGAAGTACGGAGAGAGAGAAAGGAACGAGAAGAAAAAGAAGGCAATGGTTGCTGCTGAAAGTGATGACTCATCCAGCTCAAGCTCGGATGAAGAAGCCCTCGTCTACATGGAGTGCAGAGTTGAGAAGTCCAACCAAGAGGATAGGTGGACTATGTCAGAAGACGACACTCTCTGCCTAATGGCCAAAGATGATGCTGATCAAGAGGTAACTTCACAAACCTCCTGCTCATCTTCTTATGAAAGCATACCAACTTCTGAAAATCTTTTTGACCAGTTCAAAAAGATGATGGTAGATTTTGAAGAAATAAATCTCAAACATTCTTCCTTGACAGAGGAGAACAAACTATTGAGTGAAGAGAATCTCAAGTTGACTGAAGGTCGGAAAAGTCAACTGGATGAGATTACTCAACTCAAGACTGTAAATGAATCTCTCTCTGAAAAGGTGAAATCCCTTGACAAAGAACTAGGGATACTTAAGTCTAAGGAAGCAGTGGATAAGCTTCTTAAAACGACTAATAATAAGGGTCGTAAAGGACTTGGGTTTGACCCCTCCAGTTCTAAAAGGAAAGGGAGAACAACTTTCATCCCTCCTAAACCTACTGCTAAACCAAATAAGCAGAAAGAAAAGGAAGAGGAGAAACCAACAGAAGTTCCCAAAAAGGTAGTCCCTCCTAAGAACTATAGGAAGATGGACAAACCTCAAAGAGGAAATAATTTCAGAAGAAAACTTTCTAACCCCCAATATACACGAGGTTATACTCATTATGGGGTAGATAGGAGTTTTCCAAGAAATTCTGAGTGGAGAACTATGCCAAGATATAGTCATCCTCCACCTCAGAAACTTTTTGTGCCACCTAAGTATGTTTATAACTGACACATGCCACACTATGCACAACCTAGACAAAACTATAGGTCTTACCAACCTAGGTTTGCTAGGAGAAAACAGGAATTTGCACCTCCTGCACGTAGGAAGTTTTATGCCTACAACTATGATTACAACCCTAACAAGTTTAGAGCTGCAAGGAAAATTCCCTGCAACTTCAAACTTGATGTAGGGACACACACCATTAACTACTGTGGACCCAAACTTAATTGGGTACCAAAATCTTCCTCCTCCTAATGTAGAAATCCACTAAGTACCCAGGTGTCTAGTACTTAGACAGTGGTTGTTCAAGACACATGACGGGTGATGCGAGCCTTTTGAGCAATCTAATTCCCTATGATGGTCCAAGAGTTACTTTTGGAGGAAGCAACGATTTTGGCCTTACTAAAGGGCTAGGAAATCTGGTGTACAAAGGACTAACCATCCAAGCTGTCTCTTATGTAGAAGGTCTCAATTATAACCTTCTTAGCATAAGTCAGTTTTGTGATAAAGGTTATTCTTTGGAATTCTGCAAAGACATGGCATCTCTCAAGAACATCTCCACAAATGAAGTCATTCTCACTGGGAAGAGAATCAGAAATATCTATGAAGTGATGTGGGATAATGTCAAGGAAGCATGTCTAATCAGCAAAGGTGACACTAACCTTCTATGGCTTTGGCATAAGAGGTTGAGTCATCTCAACTTCAAAACCCTCAACAAGCTGTCCAAAGAAGGGTTAGTAGAAGGTCTTCCCAAAACCGCTTTCAGAAAGGAAAGTATTTGTGATGCTTGCCAAAAAGGAAAGCAAGTCAAGTCCACCTTCAAGGCAAAATCGGCACCCTCAACTACAAGGATATTAAGTCTTATTCACATGGACTTATTTGGCCTTGTTACACCAATAAGTCTAAGTGGAAAGAAATATGTCCTGGTGGTAGTTGATGATTACTCAAGATACACGTGGACAATCTTCCTCAACGGCAAAAAGGAGACTCAAGGAAAACTCACCAACTGCATGAAGCTGATTCAAAACCAAGCAAGTCAGACTATTCAGAAGATCAGATCTGACAAAGGCACAGAATTCCTGAATGAAATCATCATTCACTACTGTGAAGAAAACGGAATTCTTCATCAGACATCTGCAGCAAGGACACCTCAAAGGAATGGTGTAGCTGAAAGAAGGAACAGAACCCTGAAGGAAGCAGTAAGAACCATGCTAGCAGAGGCTTCCCTACCAAAGAGGTTCTGGGCTGAAGCTGTTAACACAGTCTGCTATACTCAAAATAGGAGTATGATTTATAAAAGGCACAACAAAACTCCCTATGAACTGTGGAATGGGAGAAAGCCTAATATATCATATTTCCATATTTTTGGGAGCAAGTGCTTTGTGTTGAACAACGGGAAGAATCATCTGAACACTTTTGATGAGAAATCAGATGAAGCCATCTTCCTAGGATACTCCATGGTGAGCAAGGCATTCAGAGTTTTCAACAAAAGAACCATGATCATTGAAGAATCAATACATGTTATTTTTGATGAAAAACATGTGGTTGACAAGCCATCAAAGCATGATCATGAGGTTCTGGATCTATCAGACAAGGATGAAGAAGTCAATGAAGGAGATAGAATGAAGCCTACGGAGTTCATTCCATTCAGAAGTCTGCCACTGAAGACTTCACGGAGAAATCCGGATTCAGAAGGTGCTGAGTCTTCCGAAAATGTTGGTCAGCCTTCCAATATTCCGGATCTCTCAAACGGCGACAATTCCGGAAATGGCGACCCAGTGCCAATCCATCCGGAAACACCAACAACCTCTGTTCTTCAACCAGAAGCTGAACTAGATCAACCAGTCAATCCCAATCAACACAATCTTCGTTGGTTAAGGGATCATCCTCCTCAACAGATCATTGGAGATATTCAATCTGGTGTTCGCACAAGGAGTGCTCAACAGAATCTGGAAGCTATGCTTGCTTGTTTCATATCACAAGTGGAACCAAAGAATATTGAAGAAGCGCTAGCTGATTCTGATTGGATCAATGCAATGCAAGAAGAACTCAACCAATTTTCCAGAAATGACGTCTGGAAACTTGTTCCAAGACCTACTCATCAACATGTCATTGGGACAAAGTGGGTCTTCCGGAACAAGATGGATGAGAACGGCGTTGTTGTCAGAAACAAGGCCCGGTTAGTTGCAAAAGGGTATTGTCAAGAAGAAGGTATAGATTTTGATGAAACCTTCGCTCCAGTTGCTAGACTTGAAGCTATAAGGCTGTTTCTAGCCTTTGCTGCTCATAAGGACTTCAAGGTCTATCAAATGGATGTCAAGAGCGCATTTCTCAACGGAAACCTCGAGGAAGAAGTTTATGTGGAACAACCTCCAGGATTTGAGTTACACACTAAGGGAGATCAAGTGTATAGACTCAAGAAGGCGCTTTATGGACTCAAACAAGCTCCAAGAGCTTGGTATGATACATTGTCTCAATTTCTTATAGACAATGGATTTACCAAAGGAGTCATTGACAAGACATTGTTCAAACTACAAGATGGTGAAGATCTCCTACTAGTTCAAATTTATGTGGACGACATCATATTTGGCTCAACTAAGGAAGATCTATGCACCAAGTTCTCAACCCTCATGCAAGGAAAATTTGAGATGAGCATGATGGGGGAACTCAACTACTTCCTTGGCCTTCAAATCAAACAGAGAAGTGAAGGCACTCTCATCAACCAAGCGAAGTATACAAGGGATCTTATCAAGAAATTCAAAGTTGATCACAAGACATCCGTTTCTGTCCCCATGAGTACATCCACCAAGCTTGATATGGATGTAGATGGAAAGGATGTAGATCAAACTCTCTACAGAGGAATTGTCGGATCTCTACTTTACCTTACTACAAGCCGCCCGGATATCTCATGTGCAGTAGGTGTTTGTGCCAGATTCCAGTCAAAGCCAAAAGAAAGTCATTTGATAGTAGCTAAGAGGATTCTTAGATACCTCAAAGGAACTCAGAACATGGGTTTATGGTATGCTAAGAGCAATTCATTTGAGTTAGTGGGATACTCAGATTCTGACTTTGCTGGATGCAAAGTTGACCGGAAAAGTACATCTGGTACGTGTCAATTCATTGGTGGAAATCTTGTTTCTTGGTTCAGTAAGAAACAAAACTCCATTTCCACATCAACAGCAGAAGCAGAGTATATTGCTGCTGGTAGTTGCTGCGCTCAAATTTTGTGGCTAAAGCAACAACTACTGGACTATGGAGTCAAGACAAAGGAAGTGACAATCTTTTGTGACAATCAAAGTGCTATAGCCATCTCTCAAAACCCAGTGCATCATTCTCGCACTAAGCACATTGATGTCAAGCATCACTTCATCAGAGATCATGTGGAAAAGAAAGATATCAAAATTGAGTATATCTCAACTGAAGAACAACTGGCGGATATCTTCACAAAACCACTATGTGAAGCCAAGTTTTCCGATTTGCTTCACAAAATTGGTCTAATTCAAATAGACTAAGTGCGGTACACGTGGCAGACTACTTTCCACGTCTATCAATACGTTGGGTAGGCACGTGGCATTGGGAATAGTCAAAAACCCAATCGCCACTAGCCGCAAAAATCGCCCAAATTAAAACCCAATCGCCACTATTCAAATCTCAACCGCCCGCTCATAATTCTTCATCGTCTTCTTCGCGAAAAATTCTCAAGCAATCGCAAGAACCCTAGGCCTTTCTTTCTCAAATTTTCACCCAAATTTCTGAGAAAATGAAGGTTGTTGGAGCAAATATTCATTTCCAGAAGCTAGAGGCCAAGTGCTCTTCATCAACATTCTTTCAAAGCTATATGGAGATGATAGCTTCTCAAGAACTCTCCGAATTTCTTAAAATGGAGATTCACCTAAAATTTGAAGAAGAAGTTCTTGAATTCTACAGGAATGGAGAAATCAAGACTGCCAAATCAAAGAAGAACCCACAGAGGACGTTTCCAGTCATCAAATCCTCTGTTGGAGGCACAAAAGTGAAGATTTCGCAGAAGAAATTGGGGGAAAAGCTTCGCCTTCCCAATTCTGGAGTTGAAGTTGGAAAACTTCCAGTCAAAAATTTGGACTGGAATGTCATTGGAATCTCTGGACAAATTCCTTCTGGCCAAGCGAAGAAAGCAGACCTGAACAACGACTACAAGTTGGTCTTGGAACTGGTCATCGCCTGCCTCGAGTGTGGAAGTGGAGGTCATGCAGATGACATCACCCAGGAGAGAGCCTTCATCATCAACGCTCTCATTACCAAAACAAAGGTAAACTGGGCTGCACACTTCTTCAATTCCATCTCAAAACATCTGGGAAAGCCCAACCAGAATTATCTTTGTCAAGGTCTGTATGTTGGACACATTTTGGAATCTATGGGTGCTGCTTCTAAAGGGAAGAAATATGGAGAAAGATATTGGTTATACTATCTGTCTTCAAAAGGGGAAAACAGAGCTAGTGCCAGCGCCACTGTAGAAGAAAGCTCTTCAGACAACGTACTACTCATCCATATGGCAAAGACTGCCAAGAGAAAGCAAGTGGTGTCCCCCTCTCCAAGCATTGAAGCACCACAGAACCTTACCTTGGCATGTTTGGAAGAAGAAGAAGAAATCTCTGACCATGGAGAACTTCAAAGAAAGAAGAAGAGGAAAATCAACTCTTCGTCTGCAGCTGGAAATGTCAATCCAGAAGAGTTGAAGGAGAAGGAGCCTGCTGAGGAAACCTCTGTTCAAAACCGGAGTCCTCAACAATTTGAAGAAGAAGAAACTCCTCAAGTCCTAAGCATTCCAACTCCCTCCTCTCAGCCTCATACAGATAATGCTGATAACAAATTCTGGCAGCTCTACTACAATTGGAGAGCTTGGAAAGTTGGAAATTCAGAAGAGCAATTGTTGGATTGGGACCAACAGCTGAAGAATAAGAAGGTAATTAAGAGGTGCCTTGGTATTCCAGAAAACCATAACTGTGAAGATATTTTGAATGATTTCTGGGTATGGCAAAGAGACTCGGAAGATCTGCATATGGAGTACCTGGCCACCACACCAGCCTCAGACTGTGAAGCAGATGATGAAGACACTGCTGTCTTCAAGCCAGTCTTCTCCAGAGCCCCAGAAGAACAGGTAGTTCTCACCGTTGAAGAAATAGCTGTTTTAGAGGCAACAGCTGAGGATTTCCCTATTTTTCCAGAAACCTCACCTGCTTCTAAAATGGTTCTGACTTAAGAGAAAGCAGCCTGTCCTCCACAAGAGCAGAACAAGGAAACTACTGAAGAAGAAGAATTTCAGCAGCTAATCCAATCTCAAGTTTTAGAGATCCTCACAACTCCTTGTGAGATCTCCAACCAGCCACAACTTGAGATTCCGGAGAAGTCAGCAGCAATTCTGGAACAGTCAGCTATTCCAGAAACAATAGCGCAAGCTGTTGAAGTACAAAGGCATTCTGAAGAAGCTGATAAGGAAGCTCAAATGGCAAAAGTGGAGGTCTCTCAAACTCCAGCAGCCATCTTTGAAGAACATAATGCACATGAAGAAAGAGACTCCCTCTCTAGGGACTTATCAAACTTTGTCCTTGATGAAGCAGTAGGAATATCCGAGAGGACACTGAAGGTCCCTGATGAAGAAGATGAACAAGATGATGCTGAATCTCTTCCTTTGCAACTCTTCCAAAGGACTTCATCATCTCATCAGGTAACCAACTTCCATTTTCATAGCTCTACCACTTCTACCCTTCCGGATGAGATACCAGAAGTCTGGACAAAGAAGGTCCAAGGGCTGATTGAATCTGCCCTAGCATTTCAACATGCCTCCTTTAGGCAAGAGATAGAGCAAATGGAAGCTAAGTATACACAAATGCTAGAGAAATCAGAAGAAAAACATAGCGCTGATCTCAAGGAGATAAGTAAATCTGTAGACAAGACTCTAGAGATCATCTCTCTATTGAGCAAAACTGTGAGTAATACGATGGAAGTATACACCTCTGACAGTCAAATGCAATTCAAAGAATTCCACAAAGTCAAGGAACAAATAGCCAGTGTCACAATCAGTCTACAAAAGCAGATGTCCCTTCTCTAAATGGACATCAGATCAGCCCTAGCAGTAGCTTCAGTAAACCAGGTAGTAGTCAAAGACTACTTGAAAGTGATTATTGACAATCAAAAGGAAGCACACAAGCTGTTCAGACTCATTGGTGCACATACTGGGAACCGAAAGATGGAAGTGATTCTACAACAACACAATCCATCTCCCATACCCCAGCTACCCATTGCAGTCAACGAAGGAGAAGCATCCTATATCCCTTCTCATCTGAACATGACCAATCTGATTCTTGGAGCACAGCAAAGGAATCCGGAAAGCTCAGCTCAGCATCTATCCAACTCAGGACTAGATGGAACAGAATTTATAGGTGCAGTTGCTGACCACTTCTCAGATAATGCACAAGCAGAGGAAAGGCGTGAGAATTTAAGGCGCATCAAAGAACTCTGTGGAAACATGCAAGGCATCAGTGAGGTTGCCGGATCTTCCAAGCGCAAGAGAATCTGAAGGTTTATTTCATCAAACCATGGGGAAAATATGTGAAAACACTAATTTGTTTTGATGAAAACACCTTCCTGTTTAAACATTACTTGATTGGTTTAAACATTGTTCATAAGTATGCTCATTATGCTTGATTATGCTTGTGATTTTCTAAAGCGCATACATTCAGGGGGAATGTAATTCAGGGGGAACTTAACTATTGGTAACTAGTTTTTGTTGGCTATGAATTATTGATGAGCTCTAAGCAATGGAAGTCGGATATCTCAGTTTTGGTACTAAAATTGGAATTCTCCGATCCAGGTACTTTACAAAATCTGCCTTCTTAAACTAAGCTATAATCCTTAATTCATTTCCAACTAGCTCAAAAATTACTGGCCCTTAGAATTTTTTTTTGTAAAGGACTTTGGAAAAATAGTACCATTTTTTTTTAAAATAAAAAAAAATATATTTCATATTTGCTTTGGTACTACCTCGTCCTAAATAGAAATTAGAACTATAGGGAATGAAAAATGATAGATTTATTTTGGGCCTTGAGAACCCAATAGGAATAATTTCCCTTTAGTACATAGCTTTATTTTCTTTTTGGGCCACTCTTTTGGGCTTAACCAAACTAAAACAGTTACGTTTCTCAAACCAAATGAAACTGGTTTTCAAATTGGAACAGTTTCAATTCATTGGTAACGGGTAAAAGATTCCTTTTACTTTTCAACTTCTTGGAAGTTGAAACTCCTTTACTCTCACCGTTCCAACTACCCAATTAGTGGAACCCGTGAACCTCCTCCTCTCCTATTTAAATCAAGATATCTTAATCCATTTCCATCACAAACAACTCTCTAAATATGAAAGTCTTCAAGCTCACTGTCTGAGAAAAACACCAAGAAAATGTCCTTAATGGAGAAATTTTTCTTTCTCACCCTCATAGACAGCAATGGAGAAAAGCCTAGTGAGAAGGAAAGTAATTCAAAGTTTATGGTGGAATTCTCGGCAGTAGAGAAAGTTTATGGTGTAATTCTCGTATTTTCAGGATTATACCATACACTTTCTCTGGAACAACACTCTCTCTATTTTCTCTTTTTATTTTTACTTTGATCTCTTTCCCATCCCCTTTCCTTTCTTTACTTTTTCTAAATCTTTTTTGAGCAGCCCCTCCCAATTTTCTTACAAGTTTTTTTGGGTGGTGCCTTTGCTCCCTCTCTCAAGGAGTTCTCAAATTTTTTGAACTCTTTTTCAAAATTTTTTAAAAATATTTTTTTTTCATCTTTAAAAACTTTATTTTATCTTTTTCACAATCAATTCTTTTTCCAAAACCTTTTCCTTCTGTCTCTTTCCTCTCTTCCACTGCCGCCTCCTTTCCCTCCGTTTCTCTTTATTTTTCGTTTTTTTGAGAGATGTGTTGCTTCCAAGATCTTGGTTATCCACTTTGGATAATAGAGATCTATCAAACGCAACGCCAACCACTCCGCCAAGCAGAATCTGCTGGAGCTGAAAACGGTCAATGGCGGAAGATATCACAAAATCTCAAGACAAGACTTGGTTTAGGAATTATTGTAATTTGAATTGTATTTGCTTAAGAGTTTTTGTTAACAAGCTGTATATTATGAGAAACTAAAAGAAAGTTATAAAATTAGTTCTCAGTACAGCGACCGGAACTCTTAAACACTTGTTTGTCATCATCAAAAAGGGGGAAATTGTTGGGAAAATTATAGATTTTGATGATGATGTATTTAGAATGTATTAGGGACTTTAGGTCTCCCCCAATATTCAATGTAATTTTTCTTTTTACAAATATTGTCAAAACCGAGTTCTTGAGATTTCCAATAAAATTGTGATTATCCTTTAAGCGTTTTGATGCCTGAAGACTTAATCAAATTTAGTGATATGGAAATTGGATATCTTGATCGGAAATGTCAGAGACAAGTAAGGATTTCTCAATCAGATGAAAATCCGCAGATCCGGAAGACTACATAAGAACCGGATGTCTCGCTACAACCCGCTGAAGGCTAAGTCATCCAAATCAGAAGACTATCGCGGATCACTCTCTCACCCGGAAGCCTGAAAAATGACTTCTCCGGATTTGTCAGCTAAGAATCGGAAGACTCATTGAAGACCGAAATTCTCAAAAAGCGGACAAGTGGGAAAAAGACTTGGAAAATTATCTAAATCCTGAATGAAGAAATTCTACCCGTTGGTAAGGAAAAATCAATCTCTTGATTTTCAACGGCTAGATTGAAGATAATCATGCTGATTCAAGAACAAATTACTCAAAGACAAAGTCTGGCCCTCTAATTTGAAGAGCCTGCCCAGAATTCCTAAACAAGCACTAGAGGACAAACAGAGTAAAGTGCTACAGTTGAGAATTCTTGAACAACAGCTAGAAGACGGAATATGTGATTAGTAGAATCACTTCTCAAACAGTTGGGTACGTCCAAACGCCCACTTCAACAAAGAATCTTCAAATCACAATCTTCATTCAAAATTGAAGCCAGCAAATGCAACGGATAGTCTATTATGACTCAACGGATAGATTATCTAATCCAGCTATAAATAGCTTCCTTGGAAGACTGGAGGAAACAACAAAAACACCACAACGAAGCAAACTCTAAGCTATCTCATTCACAGTTAGCCCAAAAGCTTGATAAAGAGAGATTTTTAAACTCCTTATCCAGAAGCAAACTCCTCCTCCTTTCAAAGAGCTATAGTGTAAACACTTGAAGGTTTCCTTACCTCAAGTACCACACCACGTTGAAGGATACAACTTTTTGATCAAACTTCTTGATTAAAAAGGGGGTTGGTCAACTTTCTTACAAGTTGATCTTGCAAGTCCTATTGTTCGGATCTTGCAGTTGTTGAAGAAGCGTGACCTTCGAAGGAACAACAAAGCCAGCACGAGTGCAGTAGCAACTTTGGTCTTGCGAAGATATACCGTGCAGAAATTCACACAAGTGTAATTGTTGGTTCATTATTCAACAACCAACTACATAGTGGATTTTGANTTTATCTTTACTCTTACTAGCAATTATATTAACTGTGAAAACTAACCCATCCATATTGATTACTGCTCACTCTACCCACCAAATTCCGCACACAATCTAAAGTTCACAAGAACTCTAGATTTACACTCATTTTTCACGTTTTCAAAAGAAACGAAAAAGATTTTAAATTTGTAACAAAGTCTATTCACCCCCCCTCTAGACTTTGTATCTCACCACTTTGGGACCACCAACTTGGAAGCAAACATACTCAGGAAATTGTCAACCAAGCCAATTGGACCTAGATGTTTTAAAGACCAAGCCATGAGATGACCTGGACATTCTTTAACGAAAGTTCCTAAAGTTCAAGACCGGCTACGTTTATTGACTTCAAGACCTGGACATTCCTAGCGACAGTTCCTAAAGTTCAATGAAAGGCAGTCAAGAAAAAGCAAATATGACCAAGCAACTTCAAAGCGGGAAAACAACCAGGCAAAAAAGTGACCATGCAAGAAAAGGATTTCAACCGATTTCAACCGTGCATAAGAAATGAAATACACCGGTCATATTAGAGTCATGCCAAGCAAAAGATAATATTACAAGAGTTAAATATTAGGCCGGACATCCCCCAGGCCTTGGGAAAATTCAGAGTTTTTTAAAAGAGAACCCTAATCTATTTTAGGGGAAAGAGGGGAGCTGGCTCTTCCTTATACAAGGCTGGAAGTTTCATCTTAGCTGGGTCAAATGATGGGTCCCTTTTTTGAAGTCTGGCATAGAGAAGAGACCTCTCGTCCTTCTGCCCACATTGGAAGCCGTATGAACCTATCGCTGTTATCATCTTCTTGCCCTCCGGCTCTTGATACATGATTTTGAAGAAGTCCATTGTCTCCTCCGGAGAAGTGAGAACAGACCGGGCAACTTCCAAGTGATTACGCGCAGCCCAGCCAGCAGCTTCAATGGGGAAGGCCTCCTCCTTTGACCGGGCAGATTCTTCGGCTTGGGCCAAAGCTTCCTCCAGCTCAGCCACTTTTCTCTTCTCCTCCGCCAACCTAACCCTTTCCTCCTCTAGCCGGGCCCTCTCTTCCTTCAGCTCTTCCTCAAGCCTCCTCTCCCTCTCAACCCGGTCATTGATCTCCAACTTGGCCGAATCAAGAAGGAGGGTGAGTTCAGAGACCTAGTCCTTGGACTCCAGAAGTGACCGGCCAAATTCTTCAAATAAGACCCCAACCTGGAAAACAAGCTTGTCAGTAAAAGCAAAGGAAATAATTAAACCGGGAGGAAAATCAGAGTTGGTACCTTGCTAAGTTTCTGGGCCAAGGATAAAAATGTTACTTCAATGGATTCCCCTTCCAGATCTGATGCCTGACCCTTTTCTTCTTTTCCCCCTGGAAGTCTTATGGGAACCCTTCCTCTTTTGAGCTTTTGTGTGGGAGGAGGAATGACCGGTCTCCTTTCCTTTGGCCTTGACATCCTTTTTTGGAGAGGTGACCCGGTCACTTTCAGCTTCTGGCCCTTTATGGCTCTTTATGTGCTCATGGATGGGGCTGCACCGGGCACTTATAGCCTCATCCATTTCAGGGATCAGAGGAGGAGAATGAGGCTTGGAAAGGGGAGACCGGTCTGAATGGAGGACTTGAATATCATCGTCGTCATCTTCAATGATGGTGGTCATCCTGTTGAATTCCATGTCTACAAACAAGAACGGAACAAAACATTACCGGTTAGCGTTTTCAACTTAACAAAATAAAGTTGAAATCAAAAGGGAAGGGAGATTGACCGACCTGGATGAGGAGAACTGCTCTCAGCATGACCATCCGGGGAGTTGGCCCGGTCATCTTCTGCGTCATGGGTCGCAGATACACCCCCATCCGGATTTTGTAACCGGTACACCCATCCCCCGTAGGCGTATGGTTTCCCGGTTACAGGATCACCCTTGAGAAGTTTCTCGCAAGCGTCCTCAAGCTCTTTAGTGGGCACAGGGTGAACCCTCAGAAAATTACTCATGGGTGACGCGAGTTTTGTTGAAATAACTCTCAGGTCCCTCTATTTTCAAAAAGACAGCAGAAGTCCTTACATTTTGTTGTAATAACTAGAAGGAGACATTTCATCCAATATTTCATCTATAAAAGTTAATAAATGTATTTTTCCTATTCTTTTCTAAATGTTTTAAGGTAATAAATCTTAGGTCGCTCCTTTTTTTATTTCTTTGTTTTTCTTTCATTTTGTTACTATTTTTTAAAGTGTTATTTTAAAATTTCTCCTATAAAATGGTATAAAAATTCAAAATTGTTTATATATATATTAAAACAAATGAAATAAAAAAATTCTAAAAAAAGAAATAACAAGGTAATGGCAAAATAGGAAAAACGGTATTGGAAAAATAGGAAAAAATACATTTATTAACACTTACAAATGATGTATTGGATGAAATGTCCCCTCTCAGTCATTACAACAAAATGTAAGGACCTCTGCTGCCTTTTTGAAAATAGAGGGACCTGAGAGTTATTTCAACAAAACTCGCGTCACCTGCGAGTAATTTTCTGGTGAACCCTTTCAGGTTTTATAACCCGGTCAGCCCACTCACGGTTAGAGAGGGGAAATTGGTCAGGGGGAAATTCAATGAAAACAAATCTTTGTTTCCATTTCTTGTGGCTAGGGGGGAGACCGGTTAAAAAACCCCTAGAGTTGGCTCGAGAATGGAGATAAATATAGCCCGGGCAGTTGCTAGTCCCGGGCAAGATGTCATACATATGAAGAAAGAGGTCAAGAGAGGGATTGATATTCAGAGATTCACAAATATTCACAAAACAATTTATGAACCGGTGAGCATTGGGAGTTAATTGAGCGGGCAAAATATGGAACTTGTTACAGATTTCGATAAGGAGGGGACGAAGAGGAAAAATAATGCCGCCCTCAAGAGAAGCTACGTGGAAACCCAACCGGGTTCCTTTATGGGGTTCAATAATATTGGGCCAGGTGGTTTTAGAGAGGACTTTATAGCCCGGTGAAAGGACAGAGCGCACCTCAGCCAGGACCTTCTTTGTAACCCTAGAAGACTCTTTGAAGACCGGTCCTGAGTCAAGGGCTAGATAACCCAGCGACCCCAATCGTTCTTCCCATTGGTCCCAACTGAGGACCTTGGGATTGAACCGACCGGGTAGTTGGTTCAGAGGGATAGGCTCCTGGGCAACTATTTCCCGGGCTTGAGAGCTAGACTGGTTAGAGGGGCGGCGAATTAAAGGAGTGACAGGGGGAGAAGAAGACTCAGATTGGTTAGAGGAAGAGGGTTGAGAACCCGATCCATAAGATTGACCGGATACATTTTGTGAGTCAGAGGAAGACATGGTAATATCCTAACCGGTCAAAAATTTAAAGATGGAGGAATTAAAAGACTAGGAGGACTGGAGAACTTACTTGGCAAAGAGCTAGAGAGAGAAAGCAGACCGGTGAAAGTTGGGAGAGCGAAGAGAAGAAGTGAGGAAATGAGATGGGTTGGAGGAGTATTTATAGGAGAGAGAGGGGCGGTTTGGAACTCGAGGCGACAGGTGGGAGGCCGAGGACGTGACACGTGGAAGGGTAATGATGAAGTTTGAAATTCAAATTTCAAATGTGGAAGGTGAAAGGTTTTTGGGGGGAAACTGCAAAAATGAAAGGTCAGGCCCAATGCCTGGGTTTCCACAGATGCAAACGGACAGGTCTAACAGGTCAGAGGGGACTGGTCTGATCTAAAAACCGACAGGTCAGGTAGGGTGACTTGTCGATGATTTCATAATGGACAGGTCTGATATGAAATCATATTGGACTTGAGGGTTCCAAAAAATGGACAGGTCAATGGAAGGACCTGATGGCTTAAAATGGACAGGTCTGACATAAAGACTTGAGGATTCCAAAAATGGACAGGTCAATGGAGAGGTTTGACGATTAAGAATGGGCAGGTCCGATGAAGGAAACTTGGTGATTCAAAAAGACTGGTCATGAATGAGACTTAATGATCCAAAAGGACAGGTCATTAGGAAAGGTCTGATAATTCCAAAAATGATAGGCCTGAAAAGGAAAGGCTCGATAATATCCAAAAGTGACGGATCTGAGAAAGACAGGTCTGATGATTGTAAAAGAGCCAGGTCATAAATATATATATATATATATATATATATATATATATATATATATATATATATAATACCCAATGATATAAAAGGACAGGTAAACGAGAACTGTTTGATAATTTCAAAGTGTGATAGGTCAACACAAGTATACTTCCCGCCCTTGATGATTTCCTCACAAGGCCGGTAAGTGGAGGACTTATTGATGGGTATATCCTTATACCCAACCCGGATAACCAAAAGGGACAGGTCAAAATATGACCGGTCACTTTTAACAAGTCACCAAATAATGTTAACTCTTCGATTGGGACGGGTCAAAAAATGACCGGTCACTTCCACTAAAAAAGTGACCTGTTACATTTTGGGCGATAGCCAATTCGCCACTTAATGTTTTGAAGGATATTCCAGATGACCAAAGAGATGGGTTGAACTCAAGAAATGACCGGGTAACCTTTGAGGAAAGGTGACCGGTCAGGTTGCGTTACTTGGGAAGAGCAATCAACATCAGAGGCTAAGGGACACCCCGCCGCTCATCCGTCACGAGGCAAACAGTGAAGGGAATGATTGGCGTTTTGCATGATTGATTGGATTGAGAATATCCATGACATAGTCTTTGATTGAACAGTGCATGTCTTGGCTTGTAGTTGCTAGATTCATTGATTGAATAGTTGATTGATTATGTACAGTGACCTTCCCACGGGCTTCCTATTTTGTCCATGGATGAACAGGGGAAGGTCACAAATCCTCCTCTATAAATATGATGATATTGGATAGAGGAGGGGACCAATTCTTTCTCTCACTAAAAACTAGTACACTCTTGAGACAGAGTAA